GTCACTTATCTCCAATAATCGAATTATATTACGTTCGCTCAAACTAAAAAAACTCTTATATTTTCCCTTGAAAAATGTAGGCATATTATTAATTTACACCCTCGTGCAGCCGTTCGTGCCATTATAATATAATTGAAAGCGCATAGTATTTTTATGATAATTAATTTGAGGATGTGTTTGTTCAACAAATGGATTACATTATACGTATAATATATACAGTCACGTGTTGTGTGCGAACGGTATTAAACAAAAAAAATATCCTTCCACGTTTTATCGAGTTATCCATTTTGCAGAAATGTCGATCAGAAGTGCAAATAATTTTAAATAATTTATGCGTGTGTATTGCGCACGTTTGGAAAAAAAATGATACGTTTTAAAAAAAAGGAATAGCAACGAATTGTCTGTTAAAAATATAAATTGCAATTATCGTGCAACTCTAAGTGTATAATATTTAAATACAATTTTAAAAAAGAAATTTAAAACCATGCAGTTTCATAATGTTTATATTATTTTATAATACTTACCTTCAGGTTTTATTGTTAGTACCTATTACAACTACTGCACCAATAGAACACCAATTGTGCAGCAGGAAATAATATACAATGTGCAGTTAAGCTAACGAATATGTGCACTTGAGAAATGTATAAAATATTAATAATTTACCTTTCTGTATTAGCATATATGCATACAAAAAGTCTAGTAAAAAAATATAATCGTGGTATCAAAATCAAAATAGCTTATTTATAGATGTTAATTTCAGACATTAAGTGCGCTACACATAGTATGTTCCCTATACTGTATGATTAATTTAAGGTAAGATACTTATTGTTTCATAAGCTAATCAATAAGCTATCAATAATCACACTAATTTTTATACTCAAATGTATCATTGTATTATTATTATTCTACTGTTTTCAATACGATATACTTGTTACTCTTTAAATTATAATTAATATCACCATTCCTATTTTTGTAATTATACTTATAGATATTAGCCCGTTTAAATTGCAAATAAATAAATAAATAAATAAATACGCTAATAACGTTTTGGACTGTGATTTTTTTACATAATTTTGAGTTACTACTTACTCAAAATTATACATTATATAATATACATTTTAAAAAAAAATATATTTTTGTTTCACTTTTAATTTTGTTTTTTCTTTCTTAATGACAACATAAATGTTTAACTCCTCATTAAAAATCCGAATATTTTTTAGTGTCCTTTAATACAGAATGAAAACCGAAATTTGGAGGACTAGCTTATGAGTAATAATGTGTGTTGTAATTCAAAAAAGTAAGAACTTAAAATATGAATATGATAAAAAAAATAGTAAAATATTTTGTTTTGTGATGGCTTAAAGTCACGTAAAAGAAAGGTTTTCAAAAACGATTGGGTTTTCTGAAATAATCAGTGTCTTACGTTAAATGGATTGCCTTGTTTTGGTTTAGCTATAAGGGTATACTTACCTACAACTGTATTGTATATAATTATAAATGTATCATCGGCGATTGTTACCAATTAACTAAGGCTCTCCATAATTTTTAAAAACTGTTGAAGTATTTGTTTATTTTTTTTAGGTTTTAAATAAATTAAACTGTAAGAGCAGTCGAATCTCCCCAAAATCGTCTGTAAAATAAATGATATTTTTGCAGTAGGAATAAATACTTGCAATAAAGCCTGATACTTACATGTTTACAGGGGTTTAGGACAAATAAACTTGTGTTTAAATGTATGAGCTTATTTTAAAGACTCTATTCTGATGGGATTTTGTTGGCACCGACACATAAGAAGACTTTCAGCTACTTAGTCTTTTTTCGACACAACCTAACCTAACTGGTGAAAACATCTCTCTGAAATATATAATCTATAGTGACAAATCACAATTATTATAACTGAGCACAAGAGTCTACACGACTAGACAGGGAAAAATAATGTATTCTTAATAGTATATATCGCAATATTATACACATCTATTTAGAAAAAAGCTAGATAGGATTACCTGGAGATAACGAATTTACATGCAGGTATATGCACAGTGGTGTCATAAATTTTATATAGACTAAAATAAACATTGTCTGTGTGGGGGGGGGGGGGGTACTGTACGCTACTGGTGCAGGTTGGTTGGATCTAGAACGACTCCACACTTTGAATGCAAAGACAACAAGATTTGACTAGTTTATATTTTTTTTCCAATTTGTCCGAACTAAGTTATTAACATTTGACAATAAAAATTACGTATTCCATACGCACAAGGAAATAGAAAAAAGTCAGTATACAAACAGTTGGATCACAAAATATTCACACTGTAATGTACCTATTTTGCCTACCCGATCCGCCGTATATAAAGTACAACTTACACAGTAGGTCCGTTATATTATTATTAAGTTTAAAAAAACGCTGACTCGATAGAGATTTGGATTTGTAAACTCGTCTGAGATAGCTCTTTTTTCTCGCCACAGTTTTTTTGTTTTGTCTACACAAGCATAATATTTCCCAACGATAAAAGTACCTGGTACACGTGTAATCTATACCAAAAACTATATTATAATCATTCTAATAAATTAACACTATTATAATATAACAATTTCTCATTAGATTATCTTTTAAGAATACAAAAAATATTATAATAGTAACCTAATGTATAAGTGCTATCACTGCAAATATTACGGATATTACTGTAAAAAAAATCACACGACAGATGCATAATATATAATTATCTACATTTTACATCACTGTCCGTTTATTATCGAACAATAATTACAGCGTGCATACAATACGCTTACAAAAAAACGTGAGTTTTAAAATCCGATAAAAATCGAAAATAAACCTGCAATGTTACCAATTAATGAGTATTAATTTCTTATACACTGGAAAACTGTCGGAAACTAAAACGCTGTCGTGACGTTATTTATTTTTTTTTTTTTAATTAAATGATTACCACTGGTTACTCTGTTGTCTAATGCACTCACTCAGCGGAATCGTTTTCAACGAACTTTGTACATATACACTAGCGCCACCGACCACCGACCGCAACCGTGGAACATAATAATAATACATTTCAAATATGTTTCATTACTAACTACTAATCATCGTAAATGCGAGTACGAATTAAAAAAACTTCGTACAACCATAGTCTTGGTGGAAATATAATAATTTTTAAAGAAATTAAAACGATTTGAAGGCATACAAAAATTGACCATCGAAAAACGTATTCAACATTATACATGTACGTGGGAATGTGATTATTTTCACACTGTCATAAATTTATAATGTCGAAAATGAAGTAGGTATACAATATTATTAGCATTACTAGTTAGTAGTTAAATACTGCTATTAATGGAGAAATCGACAAAAGCGCAAAATTTAACATGCAATAATGTGAAGAAAAAACAAGTCGCCACGATCATCGTTTATCATTATCACTTTAAAAACAACATTTAAAATAATATATTTTGATCCTTGAATCTCGTATGATACATAAAAACAAAAGTTCATAATAATTATTGTATAATTTTTTTGACCGATAATACTTAATGGTTTTAATATCGATTGCAATAAATATCGGTAATTGTTAATAACAATAATATTACGAATACAGATATCATAGTAACATTCATTGTATTGTCGATCGTAGAATCACTATAATATAATATTATAGTTGGGTGCATCCGCCATATTATACAATAATAACAATAATAATATCATCATCATGCCGGCCGCGCTTGATCAACAAGTGTTCCGGCATCGGTCCGCCACGAACAGTTATTGGTTTTATTAATGCGGTGTAAAACTGTTATTGTCGTCAACGAATAAGTGACGGGCCACACTATCCAACGGACTCAGGATATTATAATAAGATGGTACAGAGAAACCTCGTCCAACGGACACCTCCTAATAGGGGGGGGGGCTCCTAACAGTAAACATAGTGAGCGTTTTTTTGGCAACAAACTACAAACTGAACCCTCTGAAAAGCGGACAAAGTTTAAAAAAACGAAAGTGTCCGGTATTTATAATTTTTACTGTATTTTTTTATATTATTTTTATTGTAACGTTCACCAGATATTTAGAGCGTAATATTATTATTTATTATTGTATACCTACTCGCAGCTGCAGCCGTATCAGATACGCGTAGGTATATGTAATGACGTACACATCACGTCGAGGGCGGTGCACTATAGTCGTTATTAAAACGGGTTTAACATTAAAATTCGATCGTTTTTGAGATTGTTATACGTACCTATTATATTGTTATATAATATTATTTTTATTAGGTGGTCATGTAAATCTCGAAACACTTTTTGGAAAATCATAAAGACGGCGCCTGCGGATACTATACCAATTAATATAATGTTACTATTATACTAATACTCTCGCGTGATATTTTATAATAGGTAATATGATTATTATTACAATACGTATTTCGGGATAATATTGTATTTTTACGGCGATGGCTATTATTATTATTCGGTATTGTTTTATTGATGACGAATGAACAGACGAATTACGAGTATCTCAATGAGATAACCTAACCTGGTCCGTGTCTATTACGCGTTATTAAATATTTTTTATTATTGTTATCGCGAAATATTACAAGTGTGTGCCGTTATAATACGCGCGAGGCGCTTCGTCGTCACCGTTTGCCGTCGTCGTCGTCGTCCGCGCCCGCGCGCGCACTCGGACCGCCCGCCGCCTCCTATTTCGTCCAGCAGCAGCAACCACCGCCGCCTCAGGCAGTGCGCTCGCGACACTCGATCGGCGACACACACCGTATACCACACGCGACTCTGCCACCTGCTCGCAGCTATTGCAGTCGTCTTTTTCGAAGGATAACCGTTTTTAAGTTTTCGAGTTTTCAGAAAAAAAAAAAAACAATATTCAACATTTCTGATATAGATGAGCGCACGTTAACCTCAAAGTCACGACAGTGTATATTCGTATGATATAACTGTCGTCGTAGCTGGTTTAGCATTTTTTTTTTTTTTTTCTTATCTTTTCGATGGACCGAATGGAAGAGGAGCCGGCCGCCGGCGTAGACCGAGCGCAGACCGAGCAGACTTCCGATGAAAATTGTAAAACAAGTGCCGTCGGTCGATCTTTGGCCAGTAACAGCGGAGACCGGTCGGGAACGAAACAGGCCGTCGGTGGTGTCGAACACCCGACAACCACTGACCCAACCGATCCACACAGTCCGGAAGTAGATGTTGTCTCCGGAGATCGCAGCCAATTGGTCGGTAGTCAGAGGACGACCGGTGTCAGTTGGTCTGGAGAGGAGCGAATTGCCGACGAGTCTCCGATAGAGTGGGAAACCGGCGGCGAATGCGCCAGAGATTGGCAAATCGTCGACGATCGAGCCGAGGCCGCAGCGCAGATTACCGACGAGGAAATGCTGCCTCTCTTGTTGATCAACGACGAACCGAGGGTCCGTGACCAAATGGTTCAAGTTCCCATTTCTCGCCTTCCGAGCAACACTAAGAGATGTGTGCTCACGATGGACGGTTATTCGTACGTGATCGGTGAGTATGCTCATAATTTTACACTCGTATAACGATAACGTCATACATTTTTTTTATAACACGATCATGGCTCATGATTAGTTCAGCTGTAATATGCATCGGGGTAGTATATAGTGCATATTATATTAGCGTACTTCACGAATTATACGTCTTAGTTGAGTTTGGAAATGATACAAGACTAAATGCTTCGAAAATTAACCGTATTGTCTGCACTTTAAAAATTATTTGATTTTGATATTATTGTTTAACTTTGACAAGTCGCATCATGTTTTGTGTCGTTATTGTACGTCACCCAAATAACCACCAAAAGTCCAAATCTCATCTGGTACGATCATAGGTTATCTTGAAGATGCGTTTGATTCAACTCAGTATTAACACACACACACACACACACATATTATTATACGCTGCAGACTCGCGACGTTTGACTACTCGCGTTACAATATAATATTATTATCGATATTCTATAAATATTTGTCATAGAACTGACGATTAATTCAAAACCGATTTTTAAAATGATTATACCATAATACCGAAATATATCTTATAATATATCTCTGTGGTGTGGTGTAGGTGTGGGTGTCTATCAATCTATTATAGACTAAGATGATCATATTTTATGCATGTACTTCGAGTGTCAAATGCCGCTTTTAAGCTTCCCGATTTCCCCAATAGCTATAATATAATAATAATTTGTCAATTTCTTAACATAGTTCTAGACATTTTTAAAACAATAACAATGAGAAATATGGTAAAAAGTGTGGATGGTATACAAAAAACAAATATTTAACTTGATATTTATATTTATTTTCACATTTATCATATTATGCTCAATTACTGATTGTTGGTTCACAAACATCTAATTATGATATATTTTATATATGACGACAGTCTATATATTATTGTATTGCATGTAAAATCATATGTCTTATGGCGATTTAAAAATTATCAACAAACTTTTGAATACATCGCGAGAGATTTTCCTTTTAGGTGCTTCGGAAAAAGTAATATTACCGCGATAAATAATTGACTTAAAAAAGTTTTCTCAAAATTATTCTTCATATTATTTCTGATAAAAAAAAAATAATTCGATTTTAAATCCCGTTAATTCTTAAACGTGTCAGGGACATATTTTACTTTTGTGTGAACTTTAAGTGAACCAAAGATCCATAAAAAGTAATTAAATAAGACGACGGTGTTTTCATCATCACTTTCAAGTGTAAACGTTCAAAGTTTAATTTAAAATGTTTTATTTCCGTTATGTAGTTTTGTAAATAACGACAGACACATTGCATTTCAATTTTCAATTCCTCCAAAAAACAGATTAACAAAAATGATTATCCCCGGTAATTTATTGTAATTAAATTAAATCGTTCGAAATATTTATCAATTTGCTAATTGTAAAATGATGGAAATACAATACAATATTTATAAAAAATAAGAGTTACAAAACAACCTGATATTTCTTATCTATACCTAGCCTAATTTAGCTAATTTCAGTTTAACATTAAGAACTTGGATAAAATGGACTGGTATCGTAACGTTATCAGTGCGCCTCATAAATTATGTGGAAAAAACAAGATCGTGAATACAATTTAAGATAAACAACAAAATTGAATAATATTTTCTACAACTATCAAAAAAAATAAGTTTTAAAAAAAAAATAGGTAATTTATAGATCTGTATCAATGACAAATTAACAGATTATATACATTTCACACATTTCTTCAATTTGATTAGATAATAATTTATTTTCAATTTATAGTAACTAAATCTCCACCATTTGTGTTGATATTGTTCCATATTTCGAACAACACGTTGAACACTAAACTATTATAATAATAGAACGGAAAGAGACATATTTCCTCTATACCCCATTCGCTTCGAGCCACCTAACCCAAGAAAAAGTCCATTATATTATTATTATCTTATAGTTGTATGACAAAAAAAAACTGTTGCATCGTAACGTTCATTTCAACCTTAACTTTTCACCGATGATTGTAAGAATGTCAATCTTTACAACGTTTCTAAACACAGTTTAATCTATAATTTCAGTACGAAATTGTTTTGTTTTAATGTTATTTGCTATGACGTGGTATTTATACATAAATCAAACAGTTATTAAACGTGTTTTAAATACATCTTAGCATTTCTTGAGCGTGTTTTACCGGATGTACCTACGTTTATTGATCATTATAATATTATTACCTAATATAATACGTAGTCTAAAGAATTAAATATTATTGCTTTTAAATTATTTAAGCAAATTATTGACATTTAATTACAATCTTTACCAAAACAATTTTTTTTTTAGTTGGTAAAGCAGATTTACATGGCGTGAAAATAATTTAAAAGATATCATTTCTATCTTTCTCGAACTCTGAAATAGGAATAATCACATTATATCATTGAGATTTCAATATTTTTGTTTGTTTTACAATTGTTTTTACAATAAGCAAGAGATAAAAATAGGTATGTCTTCATTTAATTATGTGTAGCTTCAACTAACATTTCAAAACTTATAGGTGACCACATACCTACATCTAAAAAATAATGTTATTTCACTAGAAATGTTCTATATAATAAATTGTATTACTTTTCTACTACACACACATTATATTATTACAAATAAGAACGAAAACGAATCAAAACTATCAAGTCTAAGACGACGAAAGTCTATAAAAGATAGACATAATATATAATAAAAGGATAAAGTTTAACCGAGGTGGATAAACCTATTAAAAGTGTCGATTTTGAAAACCTATTGTAATAGTCTTCTCTTTGTTCAAACTTTTATAACCTTTTAATTAATTGCTTTAGCATAATTTATTAAATATGATAATATTGTTTATCACAGTCAAGTTGCCTATATTTTTAAAAACAAAAAAAAAATATTCTTAATAATGAATAAAACAAACTTTATATTTTTAGTTTTTAAACCACTTAGTATTAATTAGATTCACTCAAATACGTATCAAATTGAAATATTAATGTTAACATATTATGAGCATTTCTTTAAAATATAGAGATCTAAAAGTCGTTTTTATTGTTAGTTTACGATAAAAGTAAATAATATTAATTTTTATAAATATACAATAATAACTATAGATTAGTTCAGTTGTATGATAATTGAAAAAATGAGCACAATCGAACATTTTTTCAAATGTTATTAATTTAAATTAATTTTATATTGCGCTCAGTCTCAACTCGATATGGTTAAATTTTGGACATATTATACTTTGGGTTTGTTTATTCATTTTTTTTTTGTCTATTACTAATTATTTAAACTTTTCTTTAACAAACTTTACTAGATAATATAATTGTTTATTTTCACACGTGTCGGATCTCCGTGTAAGATAAATGGTTCGTGAAGAAAATACTTGCATGTTTTAAATTCTTAGGGGAGTTCGTAATAAATTACTTTAACTATGATGCGGTTTTCTATTGTACCAAGAATTTTTAGGTTAATCTGCTCTCAAAGTTACACGTTTCATAGGGTAAATCAATCTTAGATCGTATTTTATTCTCAAAATTTGCAAATTAAATTATTTTAATCTATGACCTTAAAAACAAACAATTTCTGTTAGATTTTGCAATGATTCACTATAATTAACACTGAAGGGAATACATTGTAAATTAGTTTAGTTTATTATTATTGACGTTATTTGTATTCCAAATACCTATACAATGCTACCAATCTACAGACACGTGCTTATTTTTAATTCAATATAATATTGTTTTTTGCATTTTGTATATTGTATATGATATTATTTTTCACTATAACCACGCAGAACAATGGTTTGTACTCGGGTTTGTACAATTTCTGAAAAATGAAATATTATTTTTGTACTAAGTATATTATAGGTAGTAGGTATATGCAATTATTAGCTCTAAATATTATATCAATGTGATGATAAATGAAAAATTTAAAAATTTAAAGAAACATTAAATAAATTACAGTTTATACAATGTGGAATTAACACAGATTGACAAATAAATCACAATGAAGCATCAATTTTAAATTTGTCAATATAGATAACAGACAACAGTATTTGGTTTGTGATATATGGAGGTATGAGATTCGAACAGTTTCCTTACCTAGGTAGTTTGCGTTGTAAGATTGGTACGTGAACAGAAACAATGTCGACAAATCAAACATAAATGGAAAACAAGATTTATTAGAATGACAAAACTAGTAAATTAAAACATTTTTATTACGTCTTGTTATAATCATACTTTTTTTTACTGACAAAGTACGAATTTCGAAAAACATAAAATAAAATACATTTTAAGAAAATCTTTCTTGCATTTTTAACGTCTAGAGTTTTTTTAAACTTAAATCAGTATAATATTATACTTTTTATCAGTATTTCTTTGATCTCACTTAATAAACTATTTTTAACTTTTTTTAAACTCGCGTTTCATGAAATTCCTAAAAACTCATTTTCGGAAGTGATTCGGTTACACAAACAATATTTAGCCCGTCTGTTTTTTCGATGCAGACGGAAATTGTAACTAGTTGTTTGTGGACGGTTTTAAGCCTTCAACTTTATTTCAATATTATTAATGATGGTTAATAGACTGAGCTGGTCGTTAACATTATTAACATAATATTAAAAGACTATTAGGTAAGTCTGAATGAGAAAAAAAATAAGTCAACCAAAAAAACATACCTACTTGAAACTAATAATCCAAAATACAAAAAAAATGTGCTACCACTCTAATTCTCGAGCCTTATATTGTAATTTGTGCATTATAGCCGAAGGTCACAATAAATAATATAATGTTTGTTGTACATGGTGTCGGTAGGTATAAGTGAGAAGATATTATAGCATTATGTGGTTTCCTGTTGCACTGTTTGTGTTTTTCATTATTTTTTCGATTATCCGTTTCAAATGTTTCACTAAACTTTTGGATATTTATTATCAAAAAGATATTGTAAAAATATGTTATTCCCAGAATGGAAAAATTATTTTCATGTTATTTCCAAGTGATTACTTATATTTCTGTAAGACATGAACATTGAACATAT